ATACGAGTTTGTTTTATTTTTTTGATTTCCCCCCACTTCCCCCCTATGGGGGGTTTTCCGTAACGCCGTTCGTATAATCGCATATATCTCGGAGACTATAAGACCTAGAGACAGCAAATTTAAAGTCCAAGATGCCTCATGTAATTACGCAGAAAATGTGTTTTTTTGAAATTTCCCTCCCTCCCCCCCCCCCCCCCCCCCCCCCCCCCCCAACTTCGCAAATCGCGATTTTCTCTAACTCCCGTAATTCTTTGAATTTCAAACTAAAATTTTGCCAAGTTTCACTATGATAGACCGATTTAACAAGAAGTTATAGCCATAATTATATTTGCTGCTGCGGCGCTGCTAAAGCGCTGCCCAAAGCTGCCCGCGGCTGTTGTTGATGTTACTGTTTGCTTGACTGCTAACATGTTTACACAGACACGAATAGATGCCCACAGGCATACATACACTCACACAGACGCAATTGCTATGTAAATGTCCAATTATACACCCTTTACGTGAGTTCGAATACCGAAAGAGGTAAAATCGATCAACATTTTTTTCTAATTTCTTTATTATTTTTATTATTATTTTATTATTATTTCCTAGTGCAACAAGAAATAAATTCTTATAAATTAATGCACTAGTCACTAGAAACATACAATTTTCATTGAACAAATTTAAGACGGTTTGATTAACCTGCTTAACCTATTTTATAAAATTGAAGTTAAATCTAATAGACTATATTATGTTATTTTATATTGTTAGTTACTTATTTTTAAGAACAAATTTAATTTTTCCCTAAATTGCGATGCACTACTAATTTTCTTTAAATATTGAGGTAGCTGATTCCACAGGCGAATAGCATGAATAAAGAACTGCCGTTCAGAACAGCCAAGATTGTATCGTATACTGTTTATATTATTGGTTCTTGAGGATGCACTAAAACGTAGTTTTTCAAATAAATAGCACGGTTCTCTGGTATATATAATTTTATGCATCATAATTAAGTTTCTAGAATCTACCCATGTTCTAAGCTTCAAATGGTAAATGCTGTGTGCCAAACTGGATATGTGCTCTCCCCTCTTTACATTATAAACATATCGGGCTATATTATTATATGCTACATTTAGTTTGTGCTGAGAGGCACTATCGCAGTTACTAAAAATTTCGATACCATAGCAGAGCGTGGGTATCAGATAGGTTTTAGCGATTAATAGTTTGATATCTATGGGCAAGAATTGCTGAGTCAACGAAAGTTGTCTGAGTAAGCCATAAGTTTTTCCTGCAGCCTTGGATATGTGATCACTCCAGGACAAAGAACGGTTGAAGGTGATACCAAGATTTAGAATATGATCCACGTATTCAATTTGTGCGTTATTGAGTGATAACTTATGTAAATTTTCCGTACTAAGTAACTTTTTATATATTATAATGCATTTCGATTTACCAGGATTTAGTGACAAGCCATTGCACTTAGCCCATTTACTAACATTTGACAGTTCATCATTGCATAAGTTCACACACTCATTTATACTACGTAACGGACAACTAACATACATTTGGACATCATCAGCGTACATATGAACACTGCAATTGGACAACGAGGCTGGGAGATCATTAACATATAACGAGAAGAGGAGTGGACCAAGGATTGAACCTTGGGGTACTCCACGTTTTACAGGTAGAAATGTTGATATAGCACTATCGGTTGTCACAGCTTGGCTTCGTCTTTAATTATTCTAAGCATATGTACAGAGTATTTCAAAGTCGGGACACCCGACTTTAGCTTTTTTACTTGTTAAATGGAAACTAGGTTACTCTTTTGTTTCTCGGCTAATAAAAACAATTCTGTATGTATAGTATGTATGTGTTTGCGTTTGTGTGTTTCTGCAACAGCATTTATTAAATTTTTAATTAAAATTGAAGTGCAGAACACGCGATTGACGGACAAATAAATGACACCGATGCATACGCCATGTATATTGTAGTATGCTTCATTTGTTATTTCGCGCCATTAAGTAGGCGCTATGGACTTTGTTTCTTTCCTACCAGAACAAAATTAAATAAATTCAAAATAAAGTTCATGGAAAAACTTTTGTCACCATCGGATAAAATACATACATATATACCTGTTTATGGTCGTGTGAAAATTGTGCAATGCATTGGGCAAGATAATTGTTATCTAACTGATAATTAAGGAGGAGCAGGTTCGGTTAGTTTATAGCGGAAACTTAAAAAAGATAAGCCATATGTGTATATTAAAAAGTATTTAGATCTAATGGCAAGAGTGTACGCCGCTTTTTACAAAGGGGGGCTAACTTTTTTCCAATTTATTAAGTAATTTATATACGTCAATTCAGAGTCAGTTAGTGAAGTCAGTGACAAAGACGAGATCAAAATTCTGCCCAAGTGATACATTTATGCGAAATTATTTGTTTATAAGAAGCTCTTACTGCAAGTGAATGAGTCTACATAGTACAAATGAGCTGAGATTATAAATCCCTAAGAAATGTGCAACGGACAAGATCATTTCAACCGCCGCAGCCCTTTTGTGACTTTACTTAGATTTTCATCATGACACACGTTTTCCATGTTTAATTTAAAAGTTAAACAAATTAAATTGAGTGAAAACACAAAGGCACAAGCACATACATACAAGTACAATACGTGTACATATCTGCAAATTGTAGACAGCTGGGCGTGATATAAAAAAAATGCCCAGCAAACACAAAACTTTGTTAATGAAGGGAAGCCTTGACAATAAGCAGGCAACAGGAAAGGAATGCTGGAGTCGAGCGGGCTTAACTCTTTAGCTTAAAACAAGATAGAACGCTACAGTCGAGCAAGCCTGTATTCTAATGTATTCTAATTTAATTTAATTAATTATTTTAATTAATTCATTCATTCATTTTTTTTAAATTTTGAATTTTTTTTTTTTTAATTTTCCTTTTTTGTGGAGAGTACAAGCTATTTGTCGGGCTTGCACGACTGTAGCGTTCTCTCTTGTTTTTTCATGGCTTTACCGACTCGCTTAGAACACTGATCAATGATATATATATCCTTTACTGGGTTTTACCGTATACTAGCTAGTATACTACGGCCAAATGGCCGTTTTCGAGATACAGTGTATATTTAAATGATGGAAACACCATATAAGCGGTCTTTCGAGCAAACATCAATCCATTTTTCGCTATCAGTGTATACATGAGTATAAAAATGGCAACCATAAGCCCAATAAAGGGTGATACAAATAAAAGCATGTCTAAGCTTCGATTTGGCAATTGTATATACAAATCAACATCCTCACTGATGCTTCTACTAGAAACAGGTTACATATTTTCTTGGAAAAAGGATACGCTTGACTAACGAGCAAGTAGATACTTTGATATTGAGCAGGTGTGCCAGGATAGAGTAGAGATGCATAAACGCGCACATATTGGCAATACATTATTCATGTCTTTAGCAACATCCTTACGGTTTCCTTTTGTTCAGACAGGTGTGCAAAATGTCTGGCCAATTTTTTACAGGTATCGCCTTTTTTCAAATTTTCTTTTATCTAAATATTTGTTGTTGTTTGTTATCGAATATTACAGTTTATACTTTGAAGGTAAGTTCAAAATGCTGTGAAATTTTACAGTGCCTCGGATAGTTATGTGTACGCAATTCATGTTGTGCAATACTTACTAATATTATTTAATAGATAATTATATAAAATACTAGCTCCCTGCCCCTGCTTCGCACGGGTATTTTACAAAATTTTAAAAATTATACATTTTATACCACTTACACTCACACTTATACACCCTTCATTTTGCTATGAGTTACTAAAAAAAACGAAAATTATAAACTAGTTCGGATGTTATTATTTTGATTAATATATTCTATACATGAAATGAGAGCTGAAAAATGAAACAGACAGAATTTCTTAAAGCTATTTATTTTCTTTTCTAATAATTTAATATTCATAATTCATATATATATATATATATATATATATATATATATATATATATATATATATATATATATATATATATATATATATATATATATATATATATATATATATATCAGATTTGAAAACAGTGGAAATAAATCAAGAGGTTGTATATATATATATATATATATATATGTGAAACTTGCAGAAACTTGCTGGAGTCAAAAGCTAGCAAACAAACACACACATGGTGTTTTGTTTGTTGGCACTAACCAGCAATATAAATATTGAAAAAATGTTGTAATAGATTGGAATGTTAAAGATTCGTCACTTTATTTAAAATTAAAATAGAGAAATTAAAGAATTGCTTGGAAAGGTATTGAGGAAATTCTCTAGCGAAGGATGGGATCAACAAATTAAAATAAACTTGTGTGGTGCTTGGGTATTAGGCGAGTCTGCTTACCAAGTTCGGTTAAACGTCGGCTCAGCCCTTTCCAAATTCCTGACAAACAAACGCACGGATGGACGGACAGATATGGCTATATCGATTCGATAAAAATATATGTATGTATGTCAGTAAATATATACTTTATGGGGGTCGGAAATGCTTCATTCTGATACATAATTCTCAATGTTTATTAACCTTTTTAACACTGTGGATTCAGGGTATTTCGGTATTTTGATATATAATTCAAGATGAGCATTTTATCATGGACTTAAGTTTCAGACGGATAGGTGCAAACTTCTATTCTATCAAAGCAGAATAATCGGAGATTATTATTCGTTAAGAAGCATGCTAACTGGACTCTAAGGAAACCATTATATTTTCAAGGATATTCGTAAACAGTAAAACTCAGTATATATATATATATACATAAGTTGCCGTATTTTCTTTAAGTTTCTGAGTTTTTTTTTGCCGAGATTCAAACTCGGTTGGCTTTAGGGACACTTAGGCATTATGGGGTATTATTACAATGCCTCTGACATTGCTGGCTTTGGAAACAAATTCAAATAACATCGGATACTTATACACTCTCTAATAAATACAAAAAGTAAGAGTCCATAATCAAACCACATCATGCCGAACGAAGAGGAGAATTGTGTACCTCCAATGAAAAGGCAACGTATCGATGCCGGTATCTCCCCACGGGAGCAGACCTCAGAACCTTCACCTGATCTTGGCGAGCGCCTACGCTTCGTCATGCTCTGCAATGTGTGCCACGAGGTACCACACCCCGAAGAAAACCATCAGTGCACTCGGGGCCACATAATTTGCGATGAGTGCTGCACACGCATCCTGGCCGAAGCTGTCCTGCGGAACAAGGAGGCCAAATGTCCGCAGTGTCGCGTGCGCATCAGTTGGCCAGAGCTATCCACCAATCTGATACTGAAACAAGCACTGTGGGAGCTACCCAGCCGATGTGGACAATGTGACTGTGAGATAAGTAACAAGTCATTGGCGCACCATATACAGAGCGAGTGCCGGCGGCGGCAGGTGGCTTGCCAGTACCGCTGCCTGGGATGCGATTGGCGTGGCTCCTATGAAGACTGTGCTCCGCACGAGGCCTTCTGCACCTACCCACATAAGTCGGCTGACGAGATATTGGAGGCTTTGCTGGAAATTGAATCGCGTACGTTCTATGATAACCAGGGGCTACGAGAGTGTCAGGAGCGGTTGAGCGCCCAGAGGGTCTTCTTTTTTGATGTCGAGCTGAGCTTTAGAAGGCAGTCAGGCCAGCACCGTCTCTTGCTAGAATCGATGCCCATAAGTGCTTTCGAGGAGCTGTGGCAACTTCGCCTACGCATTAGCCCTAATACGGATAGAAGTCAGCGGAAGCTTAGTTACAGTCTTATGCTCATGACCGTGCCAAAGGAGTCGCTGTATGTTTCATTCTTTGTCAACGTGCCGGATCGAGCGGATACAGCTAAACAGCTGATGGATATTGAGCCGCTGTTGCACAAGCAACGCTTTCGTCTGGCCGAACAGTCCAGCGGTTTTAAGGAACTGACTTTTCGCTCCCCCGACGCCATTTACCGTCTGTTGGCCATGCAACCGGTTTGCTTACGCCTGTGGATATTCATGAATACCCCATAAGTAAATATTTGTGTATACAACTCATTGTACAATATTAGTACTATTACAAATCACTTGTTCTTTAATACATACATACGTGTATGATATGTTTAATAAATGATTAATTTCGATGCAATAAGGGAACGGAAGATCCAACAACATAATTCATTCGGACTCGATGTACACATTAGCTCTTCTAATTCTTCTTCAGGTTGGAACATGTACTTTGAGGGCTATGACGCATAAATTGGTTTCTTGTTCCAGAAATCATATTGTTTATCAAAACCATTATGACAATTTTATGAAAGAGTGGCCCGGTCCCGAAGTTACAGAGACATTTCATGTTCCATAAGAAAATACAAATCTCAGCTCTTTTTTTTTAAAGCTGTTAGACTAGTTTGTCTGTAGTCTGTCGTGCCTCATGCACCCAGCAAATACAAATATACTCTTCAAACACAATGTAGCCATGCAAGGATATGACTAGCTATACAGTTTTTACTTATGAATGAGTGATTTTTAATTGATGTTATTGTATTATTTTCCCAATTGTGAGCTTCTTTTTAAATTATTCAAGTGCGAGTGAATTTGGAGCTATTATTATAATTTAAATTAGTCACATCGGCACAGCTATGAACTGACATTGTGGCTGATAATGACTGCTAGTTTGCATGCCTTCTATGTCAGGGTGGGTACGTCGAGGTCTTCCAAATAAGAAGAAAGGTTCAAGTTATTTCCGGTCTGATAGGCCAGGGTTGTTTGCTTGGTATTTGTGCCACACTATCTACAGTACAGTACTTCCATAAGCTGATAGTGTGGGTCCTCCTCTATACCTTTGTACTTACATGTACCCGTATGTTTTGAATGAGTTTCCAAAGCGAAACAAGTTGATTTGAAAAAAAAAAAAAAAAAAAACGGTGATAGTTCTATTTGAAATCGTAACACAATTGCATTTGTTTTTATATTCAGGAGCTTTGATAATTTTTATTCACTTGATTTAATTTTTGTTGTCTTGAGCCGGAGCTTGAATCTGGTCCAATAATTTCTTTCCCTCCGCTCCCAAGTTCTCGATCGCGTGTCTACCCTGAGCTCCGAACTCTTCGAGAGACTTCTTTAATTTCTGTTGGTATGAAAGTATTAATATGTAATACCATATATTTAAATGTAACTTATATTTTTACTTACATTGATGTTTTCATCGCTCAGAGCATTATTGATTTGCTGTTTTACGGTGTCAATGAATTGGTTGAGATCTGCGCTGGAGTCTTCGGCGTAGCAAACCTACCACAAAATTAGAGATGTGTTTAAACATATTATATGTATTACAAATGTGATCATCTTACGGCAGCTAGTGCAAAGAGCACAAACAGGAAAAGTACAGCGATCTTGGCCATTTTAAGGTTTTCTAGAGCTCTTTACAGTTGAACGAAGCGTCAAGCACTGACCAAACCAGAAACGCGCTGGTCCAACGACAGCTCGTTTTGCGTCGTATTGTAGTTGGGTTTGGGATACATGACGCTCATATGGAGCTGGTAGCCTCTTATCAGCACTTAGCGTACAGTCGTGGGAAAATGAATAGAAGCCCTTGTGATATTTTATACTATTGCAAGGTGAACAAATGCCATATTTGTCTGGAAATAAGAAAAAATAATGAAAATTCAAAACGAATTATTTTCTTGGCAAATGAGTTGAGAAACAAGCTATATATAATCAAAATTACATAATTTTTTGAGTTTTTCTTGAAACAAAATAATCACTTTCATTTTGTTTCACTTAAGAGTTGTATTTAGGCTACAGCTATATACCCTTTCTAGGAACATAATTTTTTTCCTCCATGGTCTTGTGGAACTTTACACACCACTGATAGATATTATATTACCTTCCATTTCATTAGAAAGTATATGTTACTCATTTTGTAATTACTTCAACTTATGCAAAACTATCAAATATAACTACAAAATTCGTCAAATCATAAAGTTCTTAATACACTGATAAAAGAGGTGCATAGTACAGATGAATATTTTAAATTTAAATTTAAATTTTAAATTTAATGTTCACCTATTTCATATTCAAATCAAATATAAACATCGTAGATTTTAGTAAAAACATATTCAATTAGTGATTTTAATATGAATAATATTCAAAACAAAGTGTAAAACTTCGTTATTAAAGTCTGTCATATTCAATTTAATGTTTAACCATATTAAATATTAATATGCCCACACTTCAAAAAACAAATAGTTAAATTTACTATATTCCATAGTAAATTATAATATTTTTCTGAACTTTAATTTTAAGTTTTTTGTGGTCGATTTAAATATACTAGAAATATATTAAATTTCAATTGACTAGAATTCTCAAGTCGGTTTTCAGCGGTTGTGTGGTATAAACACAAAGTGTAACTGCTTGACATACAAATATGGTCGTTAGGTATGTGTCAAGTAAGTGTTATTCAATCAGCTGCTCCTCAATTTTAATATTAATATTGATCCAAACTGTATCCGTACTAAAAAGCATAAAAAAGCATGACGAAAATTAATTCTCAAAATAACAATGGAATGTTGTTAAAATTACTTGCTTTTAAAAATGGTTCTATAGAAAAAAATATATATAATATGCATTATGGGAGTGTCAATATTGAAAAAGAGTTTTAAAAAAGTGTAGACAAAAGGGTGGAAAAAATATATTTTATAATTATACAAAATAAACCTTTGGCATGAATCAAAACCACGTCTCCACATCACCACTTGTAATTTAATATCGTCACACTTTAAATTTAATATTTTAAAACTAAATTTAAAATTTAAGTGTGCACACTTCATATTTACTAAAACACACGATGGTGCATAATCGATGGTAAAAATAGTTAAATCTACGAGTAAATATTGAAATTTCCGTTGTTTTTTTATCAGAGTACAAATAACATTTTAATCATATCGAGTGGACATACCAAGGGTGTAGGCAGCTTTTACCAAAGAGGGGCCCAAAAAATTAAAATTTTGATTAAATAATGCACGATGCATTTAAAAAATAATTTATGCATATGATCAATGAAAAATTTCAACAAATCCAATTCAGATCTATTTTAGGGCGAAATAGTGCGTCATAATAATGAACGTGTGGTCGACTTTATATGGCATGCCCCCCTTTGCCGCCGCCCTTGTATATGTCTACTATAAAGTTGATGTAAAAATATAAATTAAATCACAATAAGATGATTCTATTCGGTTGGCTTGCACTGTGTTTTTGAATCGGAAACGCTTATCATCTTCTTTATGATTGCACGAGTTATGCTTTCAGTTTTGTTCTCAGAACCCATATTAATGAAAAACAAAACTGTGCAATTTTACAGATTCCATACTATTACTGAATAGCAACGGCAATGACTTAAAATAATGACCCATAGTGTTACTCAATAGCTCAAAGTACAAGTTCATTGTAAATACGGGTATTTGGAAATCAAAAAACAAGCAAACAACAGCCATATCAATGTACAAACATATTTGTATTTATTTTCTATGGGCTGCACTTTTGAGTAGTTTCAAAATGTTAAATTTGTAGTTGAAAGCAAAAACTGAGTGATATAGGATGTGCCCGTATTGTATATTTTTATATCCTGTACCTGAAGGATAAAACTGGTATAGCATGGGAATGTAGGAGGCATCGCCGACTCGATAAGGCATATACAAGTATGTATGTATGTACATATAGGCATGCCCGTTTGTTTGTCCGTCTGCCTAGATGAAACGCTGCATTTTGCAAACGTCTGAGCTCTCACTAAACAAAATTGGTATTTATTTAATATATTTATTTTTTTAGTAAGTACTTTCATTTTTTGCTTTTAGTCCTCCGTGGCCAGCATACTCGATTAAAAAAAAGTTGTCTATTCTAAATAATATCGTTTCTATGATGTAGTGATCTGAGTGAACCTGTGCTCGTTGAAAAGAAGCTTCGGTGCACAGTTTTTGAAAGTGATTGATTGACTGACTATGACTGCATCTGAACTGTCTACCTGGTTGTTACAAAGAACAAAATACCCTTGAATGTTTAAGTGAAATATTTTTATTTTATTTTATTAAAACTAATTTTAAACAAGATACCCGAGCTAGAAATATTCCGTTAATTTAATGTAGCGTTCGATTTGATTTCTTATTGAGCCAAAAGGTCAGCATCCGCAACAGTGTATATACTATATATAATACATTTATCAACAACTAAATTGCCTTGAGTTTAATAAAGGGAAATGATTAGCAAATCGTCAATGTGGTGGGGCGTCAATTAAAAGTGCTGATAAGTCACAGTTGCTAGCGATTGATATACTCTGTACCTGTACCTTTTCGTCCATATGAACACTTAGATTTCAGAGAAAATAACAATTAGGGTTACCAAATTTGCACATCTATGCTTTTTATGTGGACGTAGTACAAGCGTATTTTTATAGCCTGTCCCCAAAGGGTAAAAGGCTATACTAGTTTTGTGCGAATGTATGTAACACACAGAAGGAGGCGTGGCAGACCCCACAAAGAATATTACTTGTATTTATTCATCAGGATGACAAGACAAGTCGATATAGCCATGTCCGTCTGTCCGTTCGTCCGTCTGTCCGTCTGTCTGTATGGGCGCAAGGATCTCAGGAAGTATAAGGGCTAGAATATCCAAACTTGGTATCGAGGTTCACCTAAGCCCTAGGCAGGTCAAGCTTATTTTTATAACTTCCGTAATTCTTGGAATTCTTGGAATCAATTTTAGTAGTTACATCCAGTTAGTGCTTATGTGTCCGTGTGCCAAGTTTCATCATGATAGGTCAATTCTGAAGAAAGTTATAGCCATAAATAAAATCCCTGTTGTTGTTGTTGCTGCTTTGGTTCTACATTGTGCTGCATGCATACACCCATATAAGCACGCATAGACACGATGTTAAAACTGTGTATGTATTAAATAAATTTTCTTTATTAATTTAATTAATTAATTCAATTTTTCTTAATAATTTAATTTTTTAAAATTTTGCTTTTTGCGATTGAATTGATATCTTCTTCAAAAATGGATCCATCTCAGTCTGTTTGTAAATTTCTTACAATTTATATAATAAGTATGCGTTATTCACCGGAGGAGGTGATAGTCAATTAGGAGATGAATACACTAGTCTAGTCTACTAATAAGAACATCGTTTTGGGATAGTTATACCGGACACTCAATTTTTGGCATTGCTTTTAAGTAAGGTCTCTCTTGTTAAATCTACTCTTTCGAATTTTTCGCGAGGAACACCTTCTTCCACTTTTAAATAAATGTATGTATATGAGTGTCTCCATATATGTGTATGTATGTATATATACAGAACCGGTGTCGCCTCAATCAATGTAAGTATTATCATGTGCCGCTAACTCTGTAAACAGACTCGCCGGGCTGATATCTGTTTATTTGTTCATAGTTTTTTGTACAGTGCAATTAATTTCTATGTATACATATAACAATAATGTGTTTGCATACTTAATGTAATTTATGTGTCTGGCTAGCGTTTTATAGTAAATAGCACTTTGCACTGCATATTTTTCTGTCTAGCGTATGATCGGATCAATGTCCCACTATTTTGCAAGTCAGATAATGTGAAGTGCCCATTTCAACTATTAAGAATAAAGCCCACGCATACGAGTATACTTGTACGATTGTTTCTTTGCAATTGGAAATAAAAGAGAAATGAAATGAAATTTCCTTTGCTGCTATTGTGTTCCCAAAAAAATAATAACGACATTGATTGAAGTTGAACACATTTGATGGCTGCTAATAATATATAAGATATATTATGTTTATTTTTCGTTTTAGAGCAATAAGCGAAATAACAGTGACTGGATGGGGCCCAAGAAAATTAAAGTGGAGACAGGATACGAGGTGTATAGATGGCAGACAGTCCTATAGGCTACAGACTGTTTATTCTGTGTTCCAACTGTAGAGAGTAATGCATGTTTAGATAATACAGTCAATATTTAATCATCGTTGCTTTGGCTGCTTGTACATATATATTTTATAATCAGACAGTCGGACTAAATGCCTCGTCAACCATGAGGAAGGGAACCGAGTGATCTCTTCTATAATTCTGGCCCAGTTTGATAGCCCTTGAGCTTAGGTTATCACTGTGAATGCTGCTCGTGCGGAGTCATACGAGTTCTAATCGACGACCTGCTACATCAGATTCAAATATGACGTAAGACTTTTTTCCAGCTATACTATAAAATGAATGAATGGCAGGAATTTAACAAGTATGCAACATATAGTATATGTACTTATAACACATTTATTTGTATGCGAGCTTTCTATATTAAACAGCTCTCGATATCATGACTCATGAAAGGAAAACCCAAAAAAAAGTATTCGAATACATGAAAAAAACTACTTGTAGTCGTAATTTTAGTAATTGCATGTTACATACTTTGCACAAACCTAATATGCCCTTTTTACCCTACGGGTACAGGGTATAAAAAGCATTCACTTATAGTAACTTTGAGAAAGCGAGGAGTTTACAGATATTCTTTTTTAAGGATTATCTATGCACATTCACCATGATTTATATATTTCATTTTTATCCATTCGCTCACAATTTAATGATTAATTTACTTCAAAAATTAACCAATAATCATTTTATAAGCAAAAAATAAAACTTATAAAATATTAATTATGCTTTGAGTTTTATTTTTGATCAAAAATTTAATAATAATTTAGTCTTTTTCAGTAAATAATTTTTAATGAATTAATTTTTGATCATAATATGTAGAGAAGCTAAATTCGGGTGTCCCGACTTTGAAATACTCCTTACATAAGTGTAGAATAATTATGTGTGTGTTTGTGTGTGTCTGTATATGATCAGTGATTCCGTGGGGTGGAGGGGAATTCTAAAATACACATTTTCTGCGTATTCACATAAGGCATTTTGGACTTTAAATTTGATGTCCCTAGGTCTTATAGTATTCGAGATATAGGCGATTATACGAACGACGTTACGGAAAACCCCCATTATCGGGAAAATGGGGGAGAAAACCAAAAAATAAAACAAACTCGTATAGCGTACACACATCTTTGCATCTTTGTGCAAAATTTGGTGTGTGTAGCTCTTATAGTCTCTGAGATCTAGGTCATCATACGGACGGACAGACAGACAGGGCTAGATCGACTCGTCTTGTCGTGCTGATCAAGAATATAATAAATAATAAAAGTCGTATCATTTGATACAAGCTATTAAAGTAACTATTTGTAAATTTCGGCATTTTAAAGATGACTTCCTTGCGTGAGTTTAAAATGCTAGAGTTTTCGTTACATTCTGTTCGCTTTTGAAAATTTTTTTATTGCAGATATCCTACTGATACCATATCCCCTGTGACAACTTGAGTTGATGCCGAGGAGCATCGACACAAAAAGTGTGAAGCCTGTTTGTCTTTAAACATGAGCCCACTGTTGACAATTACAATGCGTTGTTGCTGTTGTATTTGCTTCCCACTTTGCCGCAAAAGCAATTTCAACAACCCGCAAAGCGATGACGGCGGAGTTTTTCTTCTTATTTAAAAATTGATGCTACTTGTTATTTTTATTGTTTAAGTGTTAATGCTTTTGCTGAACTTGTAATGTGTTTGTGGGTCGCTGGTGAGTCGTTTTGGAGACGTACCGTTTTGGCTTTTATTAAATTTATATTGTCTGCATGGGATTAATCAAATAAATCAACATTTGCCTCCTGCCTTGCCTGATGAGGTAGGACTCAAAAAGGACGTCAGAAAAAGTAAAGCTGGCAGCATAATTAAACAGCACCTTCACTGTTCTCCCGAGCAAACACATGTGTGGCACCTGCTGTCTGCATTATACTGTCTACTTTGGGGCGCCACTTAATTATTTAAAGCCCCGCAAAATGGTGTGAATGTGTATGGCATTTTTGATGCATTTGCAGTTGGCACTGCTGGTACGAGTACAGGGAAAGTTTTTACACCCAACGACGGCATGGGCACAGGAACATCCACGGCCCCAGGCATGTCTTTAATGTTAATGACTGAATGCAGTCCCCGTTCGTGCGCATATGCTGTGGCACTTAAGGCTTAAGGCTCGTAGCTCTGTTCTACTCATTGCCATGTAAAAATACGTGGCGCTTTAAAGACCAGCTTGTGTATGAGCGTGGCGAGCGCAGATTCAACACGCTGGCCAGCTTATGGGCCATCTCTGCAAATAGGTCGCCATCGGCAAACAACCGGCCAGACACACAATTTTGCAAAGTTTTTTTTTTTTTTTTTTTTTTTGCCATATTAATAAAAGCGCCTCGGGTTATGTTACATCAAAAAGCAATGTGCTGTAATGCATACATATTTAAGAAAGGCCACACAATGCGGCCCTATGTGTGAAAAAAAAACAACAAAAGTGTGCAGGTAGCAATGTGAGTTTTTCTCGTAGTTGGTGTGGCTCTTGTGGGCCGTGGGGCGTCCTTAAATATAAGTTAGCTTAAGATTCCGTCTGCTGCTGTGTTGATGTGCTGAAAATTTCTTCCTTCCGCTTCATCAAATAGAATAGCAACAACAACAACTACAATGTACAGTGTAGGCCACACAATTGGCTGCCAAATGGCTAAGCGGCTGGCTGTCAACCAACAAGTTGGGTGCCCAGTTCTTTCTCTCTCCCTTTTTTCAATGTGTCTTTGTGTGCGTGTGTGTGGCAATGTGAAATGTATGGAAATCTTTTGTAGCATACCTTTAGGGGCGGCGAGCACTTCGCTCGCTTAGGTGTAGAAGAGCCGCTGTGTATTTGTGCCCTGCATTTCTTTATTCATTGGCATTTTGGTGGCTGCTTTCTTGAAAGGAAATCCAACATTAATAATAAATTTAGACTCGACCCGTTTTTACGGACCAGTCTCTATGTGTGTGGCTTGCCGTTGTTGGGTTTGAAACTAATTTGTCTGCCAACAAAAAAAAGTCTTTTAAATTTAAATACACACAAGTTGGCAGCAAATTAGTTTTGTACAATGCAAGCTCAACAAATCTGGGATTTGCGCAGCTAGACACAGATACCCGTACACACATTGAAAGTCCATTAGGTCGGCATATTCTCTGCAGGGCTAATTAAACAAGGGGCGTTCACCAGGGCCATACATTACAATGGGGGCTTTAAAAGCGTTAAGTTATTGCATTTTGTATTTTGTTTAGTTCAAATAATTTGGACATCTATTGCAAACGTTTTCAGTAAGATTTATGTGCATATTATAAATGAATATCCCTTAATGCATTACTTGTT